AGGGCGCACGAGGGCGCAGAAGGGCGCACGAGGGCGCACGAAGGCGCACTAGCAGAGAAAGGCGCACGAGGGCGCACGAGGGCGCACGTAAGGTAGGGCGCACGAGGGCGCGCCTAGCGGAATAGTGGGCCCATTGTAGAAAGCGGTCCTAGGTAGCAACCTAGGCCTCTGTGTCAGAACTAGCTGTAGAAAGTAAGAATGAAGAAAGGAGGGTTTGCACTAGCAGCAGTTGGCATACATATAGGAAACCCTAATTGGGTTGTACTCGCTATAGAGTACCCCACTGCAGGCTAGAGCATAATATTCTGACACACCCCCATAGCCAAAGTGGGGTGTAATCAGCAGAGAAAGCAAAGCAGTACAAGCTCAGGGTGGATCACAATGTCACCACACATTCTGAGCACAAGTTTAAGAAGCAATAGTTTAAAGTGCACAATTATGAGCAAAGCTAGAGGCAGTTACAGAGGGCAAGTGAGGAGGAGGAGGGCTGGCGAGAGGAGAGAAGAGTGGAGGCGACGACTGAAGCTGCAGACACACGGGCAACAGACGGCTCTGGTGCAACTCTAGTGGCTACCGGGAGCAAGGGCCCCGGAATACAGGAGTAACAGGCTCTGCGTCTGATCAGCAGCGACAGGAGCAACGGACCCACGGGCGACAGGTGCAACCGGCTCTCTGAGCTACCGGTGGCTATCAGAACCCCGGAATACAGGCGCTGCAGACGACACGACGGCTGCCTCCACCCAACCTCCTCCAACTGTCCCACACCCCCCAACACACACCCCCTGCTGAAACCCTAGCTCCACTCCCATGGCACCCCCCTTAAACCCTAAACCCTCGGCTCCCACACACCCACCCCCCTGAGCAGCAGCTGCAGCAGTGGGAGACGGAGGAGGAGGAGGAGCAGGGGACGGCTGACAGAGACGGCACCCCCATACGCTCCACCCCCAAACCCTAATTCAGGAGTACGGGCAGCAGCAGGGGTGGGGCGCCGTCAGAAGCGCGAGGGACGGCGTGCAGCTCAGTGGGAGAGGAGACCGGGCGCCCGCGGGCCAGGCGCAGCCCGTACGAACCGCGCGCAGGCGGCCCGAGGCGCGCGCAAGCCAGGCGCAGCCCGTACGGGCCGCGCGCGGGCCTGGCGCAGGCCGTACGGGCCGCGCGCGGGCCTGGCGCAGCCCGTACGGGCCGCGCGCGTGCAGGACAAGCCGCGCGCGGGCCTGGCGCAGCCTGTACGGGCCGCGCTCGTGCAGTACGGGCCGCGCACGGGCGACGGGGGCGACGCGCGGGTCCCCGGGGGCGCTTCGGCGGGCGACGGGGGGAGAAAACCGCCGCGCGCCTCGGGGCGCACGGCGGGCAGAGAACCGCCGCGCGCCTCGGGGCGCACGGCGGGCAGAAAACCGCCGCACACCTCGGGGCGCACGGCGGGATGAAAAATCCGTCGCACGCCACGAGGCGTGCGACACACAGAGTAGCAGTAGCAGTAGCAGTAGCAGCGGAAGGCTTAGGTGGTGGGCCCACCCACAGGATCGACCCAGGAGGGTCGACCTGCTCTGATAGCATGTCAGAACTAGCTGTAGAAAGTAAGAATGAAGAAAGGAGGGTTTGCACTAGCAGCAGTTGGCATACATATAGGAAACCCTAATTGGGTTGTACTCGCTATAGAGTACCCCACTGCAGGCTAGAGCATAATATTCTGACACTCTGATACCATGTTAGAATCTAGAATAGAACGAGAATGGATGAACTAGCAGGAAGGTGGGTACAAGTATGAAACCCTAAGTTTGTGTACCCTCTAAGGCTAAACCCACTATAGCCTACACAATATAAACATACAATGTTTGACATCTCTCTCTCTCTCTCTCTCTCTCTCTCTCTCTCTCTCTCTCTCTCTCTCTCTCACACACACACACACACTCTCTTTCTCGTTCTCTCTCTCTCGTTATCTCTCTCTCTTGGTCTCTCATTCTCTCGTTCTCTCGTTCTCTCTCTGTAAATTTCACAGCTAAGGTACATCGTTGTTTCCCCCTCTCTTTGCTTCTTGTAATACGTCTCTCTTATTCTCTACGTTTCTCCTTCCATTGTTGTCGCTTACATTTCTGAATATGTTGTTTCTCCTTTCGTTGTCGTCATTCCTTTCCGTCCTAATGTTGTTTGCCCTATTTTCTTTCCTACCGTATGTTTCTTATTTCATCATCGCCGCTCTCAATTTCTGTGTTGTCGCCTCTCTAAGTCTTTCTTGAACCTGTATTTCATGAGTACATCGTCGCAGATATAGTCACGTCGCGATGTATGGTGCCACTTTTAAGACTTGTCGTATTCTGACCTTCGTTCATCAATTTTAATCAATGTCCTTCACCTCTCTCCTATTCTCTCTTTTCACCTTTGTTCTGTATTTCAGATTGCTCTCACATTCAAAAAATCAAGTCATACTGTGGAAAGCTGGAAGATACCGTACTAGTGGTGGCTTGTAGAATTCGTTCATTTGTGTCACTCATGTGCCTTGTATTTTTATTACGTTGTTGGTTTTGTTGCGTGTGCGGAAGTGTTTGGTATGCGTGCGTGCGTGCGTGTGCGTGCACTTGTTCATTTTCATTTATCCATGTCATCATTGCAATAGTAATACATGTCTGTGGGTTTTAAAATAATGGTTAAGTCTATCATTTCATTAGAAGGTTCATTGGCGCGCCTGTCGGGAGCCCACTTGAGCTGGATCTGATAGAGTTGACCATTTTTTTAGGATTCACAGATTGTGTTGTTTCATGTAAATGCTGATTATCCAAAAATTATGCTATTAGCTCCTCCCCATGCTAGGCAGAGGATGCGGTAGCGTAGTTTTTGGGTCGTTAGCTTTCACGCATCTTTGTCATATATATGCATTATGATTTGTCGGTAATAAGCATTATTCATATATCATATCATACCATATTTTACATACATAATATATGCATTTTCATATAACATCATTATATTCATCTACATTCACCAATCACGATATGCATCGTTTCATATCATGTGCATATTACACGGTACGGTAGTAAGCACAACATCGAAAAGCACATAGACAACATAGTTGTGTTCCAAAAATCACTACCAGAATACTATAATTAACAAAACAGTACCTCCTACAAATTACATAGCTAGCAATTAGTGCATCCAGATTTTTTCACATTTTATTTTAAATAAATATAAAATGTGAAAAAAAAACTGGTCAAATCGATCGTAATAGGTTGCTTCGCAACCCAAAAAAAAAACTGTACAATCAATTGTGTTGCCTGGTCCCTTAGTACAATGTCTTTGTTTATCCTCAAGGCCTGTTCTAGAAGAAAAATCGCGTAAGGCCTGATCTGATATTCAACACATAGTATACACAGCGTCGGGAGGGAAGACAGGGTCTTCACTATCTGTAATTTTTTACTGTGTACCGTTACACTGATGATATATTGTTCACTCTGAAAAGCCCACTCTTCTAAACTTTCACTGCGTTTTACTAAAGCATCAAAACTATGAGAAACACTTCTCACGCGTGCATTTGAAAGTGACTCACTCCAACATTTCCGATGGTCAAGAAACCTCTCAGCACGTGCTTGGGCACCCTATATTCCTCCACAGATTGCAAGAGAGGCGGAGCAACACTACTGATAGTAAGCAGCAGAGCAAGCGAGGTTGGGCAGACAATCAAGCCGGTGGGCGGTGGAGCGGGTGAGTGGGTGAGCGGGTGAGGGGGTGAGGGGGTGAGCGGGTGAGTGGGTGAGGGGGTGAGCGGGTGAGCGGGTGAGGGGGTGAGGGGGTGAGGGGGTGAGCGGGTCAGAGGCTGCGGTAGTCGATGACAGTGACCTCGTCATCCGGTGCATCCAAGTCGCGATAGCTGTGTGCACACAGGGGGGGTGGGGCAGAGAGGGGAGAGAGAGAGCGACACGCATGTTTGCAGCAGCGTGAATGGCACGGCATCGTTCACTCTGCAGAGCAGACTACGGTCACACATGAATTAACAACCATGCACCCACACCACCATACCTCCATGCACTTATGCTTCCATACCTGCGCACGCCACCATACCTTCACATGCCACCGTACCTGTGCACGCAACCATACCTTCACATGCCACCGTAACTGCGCACGCCACCGTACCTGCGCATGCCACCGTACCTGCGCATGCCACCGTACCTGCGCATGCCACCGTACCTGCGCATGCCACCGTACCTGCGCATGCCACCGTACCTGCGCATGCCACCGTACCTGCGCATGCCGCGGGGGTCATGAGGAGGGCCGCCCATCATGGGCATCATTCCCATCGGCCCCATGCCCATGCCCATGCCCATCCCCATCCCGCCCATGCCCATGCCCATGCCTCTCATCCCCATGCCCATCCCCCCGAACCTCCCCGGACTGCCATACGGCCCCTCCCGCCCCCCTCTTGCCCTCCCCCCTCCCCCGTCCCTCCCTCCTCCCCCTCCTCTCCCCCGTGCTGGCTCCCCTCGCGCCCCTCCCCCGCCCGCTGAGGGGGGAGGCGGGGAGCGTCCCTCCTCGCCGCCAGGAGCAGGGCCGGCAGGGCCAGAGGCGGGGGGGAGGGGGGCATCGGGGGGCAGGTCCAGGGGCGGCCCGTCGAAGGGCGGTGGCGGGGGCGGGCCGTCGAAGCCGTCGAAGAGGGAGGGCGGCGGGCGGAAGGAGGGGTCCCTCAGTATGCGCGCTGCCAGGTCTGGTGGCGCCGGCAGGAACGGGCCCAGCGGGCTGTGCGGCAGGGGTAAGGGGGCGACGGGTGGGGGGAGAGGGAAAGGGGGGAAAAGCGAGAGCGGAGGGGGGGGAGGGGGGAGAAGGGAGAAGGGAGGGGGAAAGAGAGAAGGAGGAGATGAGGAGGAGGAAGGGGGAGGTGAGGTGAGCAGAAAGCAGAGGCGTGTCTGTGATAGCGATGGTGCAGCATGAAGGTACTGTTGCGTTGCGACACCCTTCGCTGGACTCAACCATTCCACCAACCGCTCCCACCCGTCCCCACCACCCACCCACAACTACCCCCCCTGTCCACATCCCCCTCGCCCCCCATCCCCCAGCACCTGCCCCCCCCCAGCGCCACTCACCCGGCACCGGGCACGGGGATGAGCACGGGCGGCAGTGGCCCCCCAAACGGCCCCCCTGGGCCGGCCGGCGGGCTTCGTGCCACTAATGTGCGGCGGCATGGGCGGCCCAACGGGCGGCAGCGGGGGCGGCGGGCCGTCAAACACGTCAAACACGGGCGGCCCCTCCACAGGCCCGCCCGGGCCGCCCATCAGCACGGGCGGGGGGGGACCCTCCAGGTGCGGCCCCCTGTCGTCAAACATCCCCCCGCCTGCCCCCGGTCCCATGAACTCCCCTCCCCCACCCCCATCAAACCTCTCCATCCCCTCCGGCCCCTCCTCCCGCCCCCTCCGCTCGTACCGCTCCCCCTCACCCGCGCGCCCCCTGCCCCCCCGGCGGTCAAACACGTCCCCCTCGTACCGCGCCCCGCGCTCCCCGGGGAAGGGCTCGCCAGCATCAGGGGGAGCGCCCATGGGGGGAGGGGGGCCGGCAGCAGGCCGGTCAAAGGGCGGGGGGCGGTCAAAGCGGTCGGGGGGGAAGGCATAGGGGTCGGGGGGAGGGGGCAGGCGCGCACCCAGGCGGGCCGACATGGGCACCGGCGAGTGGCCGTGGCCCCCCCTCTCCCTCTCCCTCTCCCGCTCCCTGTCCCTCTCCCTGTCCTCCCTTCCCCGGACAGGGGCGTTGGGGTCGCTGCATGGTGGGGACGGTGAGGGGAGGGGCGAAAGCGAATGAGAGGGGAGACAAAGAGGAGTGAATGGGCAGCAAGAGGCAACATAGCGAGACAAGACAGACACATGCCCCTCTTCGACTGCACTCAAACGTCATTCAGTCCGTGACACCCACACACCCACCCATCCCGTCACCGCGTCCGTGTCACCGCGTCTGTGTCACCGCACGCACACCCTGCTTGCCGCACACCGTGCTCAGTGCATGCCCTTCGCCCAGCCCCCCCCTCACCGCATGCACGGCTCACCGCATGTAGTTGTCTTCATAGACGTCCTCCTTGATGCGGTTTGTCTGCTCCGCCACCAGGTCGGGGTGCTTGAGTTTGAGGTGCTTCACCACGAACTCAGGCCCGTGGAACAGCTTGGAGCACCCGGGCGCACTGCACCCGTACTTCCACCCGTACTTGTCGTCCTTGATCTTCCTCACCATGCCCTCCATGGCCGCGCCCATGCGCGCCTCCACGCGCGCCTTGCCCACCAGCGCCACCACCGGGTCCTCCCCCTCCGCCCCCACGCGCACCCGCCACACCTCATCCACCCGCCGCGCCCACGCCTCAAACCCCTCCCCACCGTCCCCTCCCCCTGCGCCGTCCCCCTTGCCCTCCTCGCCCTCATTAGCGCGCACGTGTCGGAGCCCCTTGGGCAGCCCGCGCAGCTCCGTGCCCCCGTAGTAGTCCGCCCCGTGCACGCGCCACAGGTACGTCAGCACCGCGTCCAGCAGTCCCACGCCCGCCAGCCACCGCGCCTCCCCCGCGCCCTCCCCCGCGGGCACGCGGATCTTCACCGCCTCGTCCTCCGCGCCCGCCTGGTTCTCCCCCAGCAGAAAATTCCCCCCTTCCGCGCCCCCCTGCGCGCCCCCCTGGTTGCCCCAGAGCCCCTTCTCCTAGTCCAGCTTGGCCACGAGCGCCAGCGCCCTCGCCAGGTCGTGCGCCACGCGGGCCGGCTGCCCCGCCCCTGCTGGGACGCGCGGCGCGGCAGCGGTGGCGGGGGCGGCGTCGTGGGCCAGCGACGGGCGGAAGGAGGCGCTGCGCCGCCGCGCGTCCGTTGCTGCTAGCGGGTCACGCGGATCCGCGTAGGGGCCGCTGGAATAGTGGGGGGAGGTTTGGGATCGGGAGAGAGTCCACGAGGGGAGCAAGGAGGGAGGGAGGGAAGCGGTGAAGGGAGGAGAGAGAAGGCAAGGCGTGGGGTGACGAGGTGACACTACGACGCAAGAGGGAAGTGAGTGGCGGATGGAGGGAGGGAGGGAGGTGAAGCGAGAATAAAGATACACAGGATGGCGAAGTAGGGCAAGTAACAGAGCATGGAAACGAGTGCACGAGAGTGGAGGGCGCGGGTGCAAGGAAGAGAAAGGAGAGGTGGTGAGGCGGTGAGGCGGTGAGGCGGTGAGGCGGTGAGGCGGTGAGGCACTGACAGGTCGGCGTCGCCCCGCTGCAGGCTTTCAAGAAACTGCTTGCTCTCCAGCTGCGCGAACTCAATGCGCCTGATGAGAGGCACAGCACACCGCACACAGCACACATGCACACATGCACACAGCACACATGCACACATGCACACAGCACACAGCACACATGCATGCACACAGCACACAGCACACAGCACACAGCACACAGCACACAGCACACAGCACACATGCATGCACCCACACCCACACCCACACCCACAGCCACAGCCACAGCCACAGCACCACAACCACAGCGACACATGCAGCACGGGGTCAGAGAGTGACGGCACATGAGGGAATCAGTGCAGCAGATCAGAAATGCAGGGATAGGGAATATGGGGAAGGGGAAAGAAGAGGGGGGAGATGGCAGCAGTGGGCAGAGCAAGGCAACACTGGCAGACCGCGAGGTTGATTGCCGGTTTGCAGGAAATTGGAGCACTGGTACAGCGGTGATGCAGAGATAGAGCAGTGCGAGAGCGAGCAGGCAGCGCAGTGCGCTCACCTGTCCACAAGGCTCTCAAGGCGAGCAGGGTCGTAGAGCGCTCGCAGCCTGGTGCACAGACGCCATGCCCCACCACGCACAGGGGGGGGGGACGGAGCGGGCGAAGTGGGGTGGGGAGGGAAAAGGGGAATCCGGGTTGTGGTGAGAATAATCAGAGGCGAGTCGTGGCGGCAGGATGGTGCAGGCAACGTGGTGGTGAGCGATGGTGCAGGTGCGCTCTTGCGAGCGAATACTTGAACGCAAATCTTGCGGAGCGCCTCACCACTAAAGTGCAAGCAATTCCTCTTCCCAGCCATAGCTGTCACACCATTCCATCTCCCTTACCAGAGACTTTCCCTCTACTTCCACATTCACCTCCCCAAAATCGGTCCAAATCTACCAAAAACGAACAAGAAAAAGGCCAAAATGCCATGGAAGGTAATAACTTACCACTCCTCGTTCCTGTGGTCGTGGAAAAACGCCTTCTTCTGCGCCGCGACAAACTTGGTCTTGTATTCCAGGTACCTGGTTGGGGGGGGGGAAGACGGAGGGGGTGAGGAGGGACAGGGATACGGTGGAAAGGGGGGGAGGTAAGTAGTACAGCGCATGAGAGGCTAACAGGGGGCGCAGCAGTAGCAGACGGCAGAGCACAAGGCATGAAATATGCTTTTTTTTTAAGGAGCATGTGTGCTCGCACCTCTTCTCGGCGTCAGCGGGTGACACTTCATCGTCCAGGTCAGCAATGAACTGCTTGTAGGTGAGCGGCCCGTCCGCTGGCGGTGGCCTGCTGTGACGCACACACAGGCACACACGGGGGCACACGGGGGCACACGGGGGCACACGGGGGCACACAAGGGGGCACACGGGGGCACACGGGGGCACACGGGGGCGCACGGGGGCACACGGGGGCGCATGGGGGCGCACGGGGGCACACGGGGGCGCATGGGGGCGCACGGGCACATGGGGGCACATGAGGGTGTGGTGATGAGTGGGGAGAGAGACGGCCGTGGGAGAAGGAGGCAGCAGGAGGGGAAGAGAAGGGCAAGGAGCAGCAGCGCAAGCGATGATGGTAAGCACACAGCACAGCACAGCACGGCACGGAGGGCAGTGAGGCAAGGCGCGGCGCCATGTGAGGATGCAGGGACGAAGCAGCTGTGCCCACCAGCACCGCGTGGGTGCCCACCAGCACCGCGTGGGTGCGCACTCCACGCCACTGCCATCGCCACCCCGCCCACCCACTCACCCATCCATCCACCCACTCACCCCACCACCCCACCCCATTCCACCACCCCACCCCACCCCACCACCCCACGACCCCACCACGCCACCACGCCACCACGTCACCTGCGGGGAGGCCCGTCGGTGGGCGGGTAGTGCGGCGGGTACATGGGGGGAGGCGGGGGCCCGCCGCCACCTGGCAGCATGTCATAGGCTGACGGCCGCCTGTAGCGATCAGCGCCTGGTGGGAGCAGTGGCGGGCAGAGGGGCGCGGAGGGACGCGTAGGCGGCAAGTGAGCGGGCAAGAGGGGGCGAGGGAGATCCCGGCAGCAGATATGGCAGGGGATGCGGCGGGTGGTGGGGCAGGCGGGTGGAACATACCTCCAATCTAGTAACCCCAATGCCACACCTCGTATGCCGAGCTTCCACTCCCATACCTCCACTCCCGTGCCTCCACTCCCGTACCTCCACACATGTACCTCCACTCCCATAAGTCCACGTACCTGGCGGGGGCCCGGAAGGGCCGGGCAGGCGCGCATAGGGATCGTCGGGGGCGAACGGCGGCATGGCACGAGGCACGTCGTAGGGGTGCCTGCTGTGGGGCGAGCAGGGCGGGAGAGGAAGAGAGAGAAGAGGCGGCGAATAGGGTGATTGAAGGCGGCGACGATGATTGCAGAGAGTCGCAGATGGGAGTGGCGGAGGACGGGCGTGCAAGGGGACGCGCATGTGCTTCCATTAGCAAGGGGAGATGCGTGGTAGTGAGGGGAGATGCGCGAAGTGAGGGGAGATGCGCGGAAGTGTAAGGAGATGCGCGATGCACGCGCGGAAGTGATGGGAGACGCGTGGAATTGAAGGAGATGCGCGGCAGCGAGGGGAGAGCGGAGTAGGTGCAAGGAAAGCGGAGCAGGTGCAAGGGAGGAAGGCAATGGGAATGCCAGGATCCGACTTGCCTCCAGCAGACGAGTCGCCGCCACCGACAGCATCACCAGCAGCGCCGCGTTGCCACACTCGCTCGGTGCGACGCGTGCCACTTGCAGCAAGTGCGCTAATCCTACTCCTACTGGCTACTCCTACTCCTACTGAAATGTTCGGAGAGGTTGGAATCATGGACCTCCTGAATAAGGAGTTCACGCAGCAGCCGGTAAGCGGGAACCCAAATCCGGTCAGTTCCGGATTTGTCGCGGGTTGAGGTTGGGTTGCGCTCGGAGGTACTGTAGGGATTTATGATCGGTGCGAACAGTGACGTCGGCGCCAGTCAGGTAGCGACTTGCGTGACTCGTAGGCGATCGGTTGTAAGCCGTTGCCAAAATCCTGGAGCAGCACTGCGCCGATGGCGAAATCTGAGGCGTCGGTGACAACTTCGAACGGCTTGGATGGGTAGGCGATGCGAAGAACCGGAGGGGATACCAGCAACTGCTTCAACTCCTGAAAAGCCGCCTCAGCTTCCTCCCCCCACACGAAGTTCCTGTCCTTGTGCAGCAAGTCGGTCAGCGGGCCGGTTATCCCCGCCATATTCGGGATAAACCGCCGGACATAATTCACAAACCCCAGAAAACTCTGAAGTTCCGTGACATTAGTCGGGGCCTTCCACTCCTGGATGGTCTTGATTTTCTTCGGGTCGATTTTGATGCCGTCGCGTGAGATGACGTGCCCCAAAAACTCCAACTCTTGCTTAAAGAACTCGCACTTAGAGCCTTTGGTGATGAGCCGGTTCTCCTGTAGCCGCTTAAACACTGCGTCGAGGTCGCGGAGGTGCTGCTCGCGTGTCCTGCTAAAAATCAGAATATCGTCCAAGTAGACGATAACACACTTGTCCAGCAGGTCGCGAAACACCCTGTTCATGGTGCGTTGGAATGTTGATGGCGCATTCGTGAGGCCAAAGGGCATCATGGTGAACTCGTAACTGCCGTAGCGGGTTCGGAAGGCGGTCTTGTGACAATCGTCAGCGAAGACTCTAATTTGGTGGTAACCGCCGCGTAGGTCAATCTTCGAGAAGTAGCGAGCGCCGCGAAGTTGGTCGAGGAGGTCGTCGGTGCGTGGGATGGGATAGCGAGATTTGATGGTAACCCGGATAAGCGCGCGATAGTCGATGCACATGCGAATGCCGCCGTCCTTCTTCGGTGTGAACAGGATCGGTGCGGCGAAGGGCGAAGTACTGGGTCGGATGAAGCCCTTCTCCAACAGTGACTCAAGTTGACTTCGAAGCTCCGCAAGTTCGGGCTGAGTCAACCGCCACTGTGTACGAACAGTCGGTTGCGCGCCGGGTTCCAGTTGGATTTTGTGGTCCTCGGGGCGTTCGGGTGGTAGTCCAGGTGGCAGGTCGTCGGGGAAGATGTCGGGGTATTGTCGAATCAGCTCCGCTAAATCAGGTGGTACAGCTGCGCACAGCTTCTCGATGTCGTTTCCGTCGGTGTCGGCTGCCAACTCGCGCAAGCATACGGCGAACAGTTGCGCACCCCTGTTGACGTGGTGTGAAATTGTGATGGCTTTGACGCATGTAGACTCGATGCAGTCCGGAGTCCACGCGGGCAGAGTAATCAGCCCCCCGTTCTTGCTAATGCTGCACGATCCCGTCGTCCAATCGATTATCGGGTTGTGCCGTCGCAGCCAATCGCGTCCCAGGAGCACGTCGCATCCGTCCAACGTCGTCGCGAGAAACTTCATGCTGAAGCCGAAATTGTCGCCGCACTCAATCCGCACCGTCCGTGTTTCTTCCAAAATCGCCAGAGGCGTCCCATCCACGAGGCGGGCGTCAATTTCGGGCAGACACCTGTCCAGCTGCAACTTGCATTTTTTTGCTGTCGCCAGATTGAAGAGGCTATGGCTAGCCCCGCCATCGACGAACATTTTTATTTTTTTCTTAACAACCGTGCCAACAACCAGCACAGGGTGATCCACATGTTCACCCCCGTTATTCGTCCGAGTGCGATCGATTGCATGAATCGGAACCACGACTCGGTGGGGATGGTGGGGTTCGGGCGACAGAGCACAGTCAGTAAGGGGCCCGTCTGTTACTGACTCTTCCCATTTCCCGGCTCCTTCCCGTCGTTCCTCTTTCCCTGCGTCCTGTCGGGGCAGTCTTTATACATGTGGCCCGGCTTCCCGCACTTAAAACACAACCCTGTAAAAGGGCGGTCTGGCGCATGGACTCCGTTAATCGTGGCCCGCTGGGTCTGTCCACGAAATCGGTTTCCCTCCCGAGAACTCGATCTCGCCCACTGCATCAGCGCGTCTGTGCTCTCGGCCAATCGGACGGCTTCGTTGAATGTTGCTGGACGGCTGCGGCGCACCTCGTACTGTATCTCATACTTCAAGCCGCTGATGTATTTATCCAACCGTTCAGCTTCCGCCATGTCGTCCACTTGATCCGCGAGCGCCATAAACGACGCCGTGTAGTCTTGAACAGAAGCCAACTGCGACCAGGTACGCAGCTTCATGCGAGCGTGTTCCGAGGCGGATACATGCTCGAAACGCTCTCGTAAGGCTGCGCCCCACTGTTTCCACGTGCGAATTGTGGCCACACCGAATATTGATGATGCCCTCCCATTAGCAGAGTCGGAAGTCCCGTCTTTCGCATGTGTCACACCTGTCGGGGTCCCCGTGTCCAAGGTACGTCGCCACCACTCCAGTGCCGGGCCTCGCAGAAGCGATACAGCGTAATTAAAGCCAGGATCTCAAGTAAGAGACATTGGCGTCAACTGCAAAACAATTGACCAACTAGTCACCCTGATTCTGTAGGCGAAATTTAGTGGTTGGGTTGGAGGTTCAGTGTGCGACTGATTTCAGTTTTGCCAGTGAAGCAATTGCAAAACAAATTTGTGTACATGAGATTTTTCGGCAGCTGAGACACATTGCTGGGAAACTAGCTTCGGGAACCAACCAGTTTTCCGTACCTAGGTGGTTCGGAAGCAGCATGCGATTTTTGTTTGCTTCTCATCTTCCGTTTCAGCTCTCGTCAACCCCTCAACCTCGTCAACCAATCACAACTTAGCGCAATTCACCAACTGCAAAACAGCTGGACTACATGAGATCCCGGCTACGCGCGGCGTCGTCGTCAACGTTTGCAGCAGTGAAGAAGACCTCCACGCCGAACAGCCACCCCTTGAGTGTAGTACCCTTGTCCGTAGGGTTGAACGGGGGCGGGCTCGCGGGCTTAATCTTGATTGTCGTAACTGCAATTGCTGTTGCCGGCGCTGTCCGCCTGTCGCCTTCTTCGGTGCCTTGTGGGAGCTCGCCAGTTGCATTAGGGCCGCTCGCCACTTGACTGGTGGTTTCGCCATCTTCGACGGGCGACTCCTGACGCGCTTCACCTCGCGCCTGGCGTAGCTCGTTGTTTTCTTCACGTAGTCTCTCCACTTCCGTCGTTAACGCCTTCATGCCTTCCGTCATTTCTGCCACTTGCTGCATAAGTTTGTTGAACGCCTCCTGGTCCATGAGTCGCAAGCTACGTCTAACAGGCAAGTGGGTCTCCGTGACTATCCGGCAACAGTGCAAGCGCAAAAGCTATCGGAGTCGGGCAAGTTTAATTTAATAAACTTTGCAACCAACCGCTTTGCAGCCCACCGTACCAGTCACACCCGTGCCTCTAAACTACCCTGGAAAAGCGGGGTGAACTAGGAAAGTAGCTCTGATACCAGGTGTTATGAGTTGTCAAACAGAGTTGCGCGGAATAACGAATAACGAGGCTGTGACTTAATGGACTGACGATACAATGAAAGTCATGCGTTTATATAGCGAGGCAACCTAGCTAGGCGGGAACCTCGGGAACACGAGGTTGAGTGCAGGTTGGGCAAAGGAAAGCCGAAGGCGACGCGAGGTTGCTTCGGCAGCGAGCAAACCGGCCGAACGTGCACTTTCGAAAGTTGGGGTTGTACGCAGTTGAGTAAACCCCAGTAAGGAAAAAAGGGTTTTCCTTACATTCGCCAATGGCTTCGCGAGTTCGCCCGAAGTTCGAACGGTCGCATCACTTTTCCCTCCAAGAAACGGTTCACAAAGTGCTCATTTGTCAGTTCGATAAGCAAACGAACGGTACTCCGTCTCTGACAGCTGATTGGCGCGCGAACATCTCGAAAATAAGAAACCGAGCCGCATCTCCAACTCGTTTTTGGCGCTCGGCGCCAGACTGAACATTGAACCATTGACACCCCCACTACCCCCGCTACACTACAAAACCCACTGCACTTCGAACCGAACCTCCACATTCAGCACGCAATGGAGGAGTCTAGCGGAAATGAAAACTCTGGACCTGCAAACACCACATCCAACACCTCCGTCCCTAGTACCTCTACCCAACCTGATCATCATGCTACTGCTCCAGAGACACAAGAGTCTCAGATCTAGAATCATCCTCCCGCCAGCGCTCAAACCCCGTCCACAACCACCAACACGCAAGCTGACTGGTGGGTCTACCACATCCCGTCTCCCACAGCCTCGTA